TTGCCATCCAAAGCAGCGAATTCAGGCGTCTGACTGTCCAGCCCACACTCCGTGCCAGGGACTTTGCCTGGAGTACCAAAGAGAAGAAGGAAAGAGGGAAAAAAGGAGGAGGAAAAGGAGCCTGGGAAAGTCCAGGGAAGCAGAGGCCCTGGGACTGGATGGGGGCGGTGGTGGTGGGGGGGGGAGGCTGCAGGGGAGTGAGGTGGTTTGTGGTGGATATTCTGGGTGATGAAGGCTGGGCAGCGCTCAGGGCCCGCCCCTTGGCACCGACTGTACATTCAGCAGCAGCAGCCTTGGCCTGTGGCCCTCTGGGCTCCCAGCAACGCCTGCATTTTACATATTGGTTTGCACGACCAGCAAAGTCCATCTTAGCCCCTCAAATCTAGAGATTTCCTGACTTGTTTACTTAACCCGTGATTCTGCTGTCTAACCTCCATCCTTCCAGCTGCAAAGTCAGCTCCTCCTCTGTGCCTGGAGTGGGAGCCCCACAGAGACAAAACCCAATCAGAGGTTCTTCTAGGGAGGTGACTACGGTCATTTGCACCCCATACCTGCCTTGAAAAGAGATTCCTTCACTTGTTTTGTCCCCCAACCCAAACCACAGGGGGGGTAGGGTCATCTCACTTTCCAGGAACAAAGTCTTCCATGTCCAGTTCATCTTTCCCCCCACTACCTAAATCTGAATCTGTAAGTCTCTCCTCTTCCTCTCTTGGCTAACGGGAAGTCCTTCCGGCCGTCTAACTTCCATCCCTCCAGCTGCAACATCATCCTCTCGGTCACCTAGCACTCCCTCCCCACCCCTTTTGCCCTCCCTCCCTACTCCAAGTGCTCGGCTTCTCATCCCTAGAACGATGTCCTACTTCGCTCGTCCTAGCTCTAGCCGCTGCTGCCGGAAACCGACGCAGAGAAGGCAGACGGTCCCGTGATCTGCCGGAGCCCCCCGCGTTCCTGGCCAGGGGGGCGGGGGTGGCCCGGGGAAAGGCGGAGCAGGGGCGGGGGGAAGAAAGGGGGTTTTGTGCTGCGCCCAGCAGCCCGGCGTCCTCTTCCGAACGTCCTGCGGGCCTGGCCGCTGCTCCAGCCCGCGCATTTCTCGCCGCAGTCTGGCTGCAGGTGCTGGACCGAGCCGTAGACCCAGAGGAGCCCCAGGAGGAGGCAGCAAACTTCGCGGTGCCGCACCGCACCCCGGCCCGCGGCCGCCTACTGGCAGGTAAGTGTGATCGCAACCCAGCCGCCCGACCCTGGGAGGGAGAGAGGAGCACCCACTCGCCGCCCTGTGATACCCCGCCCCAGGTCCCGCAGCCCCCGTTTCTGAGGCGCCCACCTCACGGAGCTCGGACGCTTGGGCGAGGTACATTGCCGGCTACCGCGGAGCGCCTACGGCTCTTGCTGCCATCTACCATCTACATACGCCCATCTTAACCGCTGGTACCCCCATTGCTGCTTGCAGTCTGACCCGCAGACCCCTCTGGTCTGCGGGTTATAGGAACGCTGTCCTTGGTCTTCGTGTCCTCCTTGCGGTGCACTTCAGCCTCTGCTATGCCACCGAGATGTCCGACCTTGTCCTGGGCAGGGAGGCGGCGGTCCAGGTCAGGCCCTGACTCCGCGCTGGAGGTGCGAGTAGCACGATGCAAGGAGCCGCCTCCAACAGTCCTTCTTCTGGAGACTCTCCGCTGTAGCCCGCAGGACAACCGATAGGAGGCGCTGTAGTTAGTGGTTGTGACTCAAACTGGAATCCCCGCTGCCGCTTAATTGCTGTGTGACCTTGGGAAAGTTAATTGGCCTCCCTGAGCCTTGGTTTCCTCATCGTGTGTAATGATGAAAACATAATGTTTTCCTCACAATTGAGGTTATCCACACGAACCAACCAAGTAGGAAAGAGGAGGCCTGCTTATGTAGATGGTCAGGAACTGCTAACTGGAATTCTTGTTCTCACTCCTGCTTTCCATTCGTAGCACTACCAATGGGCAGGGCACCCCTCCCTCCAAGAATGCCCTAGTCCCTTTCTAGAAGAATAGCTCTGTCCACATGAATCTAACAGGACCAAGAGATTTGCTATCGATTTTGTTAACACCACAATCACCCGTCTTCCTTAGAGTCTAGATAATACCAGAAAGATCTGGAAGCTCTGTTACCTACAGGATTATCAGTGCCTGTGCTCACTTTGCTACTGATAACAGCATCATCCACATTTCAGAAATTATATCAAGTGGAGCTGCAATAGCTTGGTTGGTAGTGTGGCTAATAGTACTACCATTAGTTAGTTGTGCTTCTAATAAATAGGACAATTTATGTGATTACTGCAATTATTCCCGCAGGCCCTGCAAAAGCCTCGCTGATATTGTGTGGGTTTGTGTTGCTCTTTATACTACCACTAAAGGGATAGTTGAGAGCTATCCTGCTGTGACCAAAGCTCTGGGCTCCTGCTGTCTCTCCTGAGCAGTGGAGCTCAGCTCCTAGGGGGCATATTTTGGACTGCCAGCTGATTGGCATTCAGCATGGGGGTAGTGGGTATTAGGTGTGTATATGCATGTGCACACACACATGCACACACATAGCCTGGTCTTGATTCTCTGTAAACTGCATCTGTGAAGCCTGTGAGAGAGGTGAGTGTTCTCAGTCAGACTCAGTCAGGTGAGTGTCCTCAGGCATGATGCTGTAACAAGAGGAAAGATTGCCGAACAACTGGAGGAAACTCAGAACAAAGCAGAAATCCAGAGGCTGGGGCAGGGATGAAAGAACTGGAGAGGAGTGGTAAGGAGGAGAGATTGGAGGCAGGGGAAGGGACAGAATGACTGCTGAACTCTCTGGGTTAGAAATGGAGCTGTGTGTCCTTCTCTGGAGGGAGATGGAGTGAAAGCGGGTGTTGTGTATGGGACGAAGAAGGCCAAGGCCTAGACCCTTGGGTTATAAGTCTGGTGCCTGATAAGGAGATGCCTGAGTTTTTCCGGGACTCCTGGAGAAAGAGGAAGCAGCTGAGACCCAAGCTTGAGCTCTTTGAAGACTTGCATAGCAAGGCCACTTCCAGGCCCTCTAGTCAGTGACTCCCACTCCTGGAGTTGGGATTGCCCATCATGTTCTAGGGCAGCAGGTACTCATTAGTCTTATATCTTCATCTTTCTTTCCTCTTCTACCTCCACAACAGAGGGGAGAAGGTTAATCTTGGGTGTTAGCCCCAGAGTGATTCCAGCTATCTGAGTTTCTGGGCTGCCTATCTGGGAGCTGGGCACAGGTCTGTGAGTGGCTCTAGCTCCAGCCCAGAGAGGGAAGGAAGATGCCAGAAAGGAGCTCAGCCTAGGCACAGCTCAAATGCATGGTCAATGGTCTCCTAAGCATCAGCAGGCACTGGCTGCTCATGCCAAACAATGCCCACTCCAAACCCAGATACAGCACCCCATGACTAGTGCTGCTCTCAGCACCCTCCGGGACCTCCTCCCACTCAAAGACCAGAGAGAGGTCCTGGGCGTTTGGCTCCTGTCACTCCTCCCCCAACTGGGCCTGAGGAAATGACCCCCAGCCACAGTGGGGGAAATGGAGGTAATGATGGTGGAGAGACAGGAGAGCCTACTCTGGAATGATCTGAGAGAAGAGGGAAATTTCCCACCAGTCCAGGTTCAGGAAAGGGGGAACATGTGTAAAGATAGAGCCTGAGAGGGCAAAGGGTGGTGATTGAGCAAGAGTGAGTAGCCAGTGGGAATAAACCTGGATGTATTGCCTGCATTCTAACTTCCATCCCTCCTGCTGCATCATTGGCCTATTCGATGGTAAACACTGGTTCCCATACTCTTCTATGTCTAGCCTGACCCTTAAAGTGACCTTGGATACTGGCTCTGCATCCTTCCCTCCCGAGGGCATGGCCTGGTATCTAAATTGCTTTGCTGGGAATCTAGGGTCATCCCCGTCGCACTCTGGGTTGAAGTCTCCATTTCTCAATGTTACACCCCTACCCTCCCAGTATGAGAGTGCCTTGAAATCTTCACAGGAATGAATAGTCTGGATTTTCAGGGGTTGGAGGAGATGGCCCCTCACATTTATTCTTACTCATTTTAGACCACCCTCCCAGCTTAGGGCTTTCACAAAAGGTGGAATGGGGGAAGGGAGAGACTGGATGGGGGCCAGGCTGGCAGAGACAGGGTCTTTGTCCCAGCTAGTTTCTGAGCCAGGAGATCCGGTGGGAAAGCCCGTGCCAGGCAGAAAGGAAAGGC